ATCATAGCTCACTGCAACCTCAAACTCCTGGGCTCAAACGATCCTCCTGCCTCAGCCTCCCAAGTAGTTGGTACTACAGGGGCGCGCCACCACACCCAGCTAATATTTCTATTTTTTGTAGAGACGGGGTCTTAAATTCCTGAGCTCAAGCGATCCTCCTTCCTTAGCCTCCCAGAGTGTTAGGATTACAGGTCTGAGACGCTGTGCCTGTCCAAAGAATTTTTTCGACCATCAACTTTATTTTTATAAAAGAACCTACAAGATACAAGCAAGCATATTTCAAGATATCATCATGCCGTTTTAAGCTATTGTCATCGTATTCCACAACTTCTAAGATAGAGCCATAATTTAATATTTATTTCTGAGAGACATATACCTGATGCTGAAAATTGTGCCTTGAAAGACTCACAGCTCTAGAAGAGTCCTTTTCTTTATTGTTGTTTATCTGCTGACTTTATACCCAAAAGCTTTCTGGAGTTTTGCTAGGCAGTGGCTTCTCTGTTCTACTCTTCTCTTTTTTCATTGTTTGTTGAAATCTCTTCTGCTACTGATTCCCCTCATATTCTCTTTGCAGTATTGAGTTCTTAATTATTGATTATCAATTTATTAGTCTTAGATGAGAGCTTGAACTCAGTTAATGATTGAGAATGATCATCTAACCAAATCCCTCTTCTGTTCTTGCATGGTGTGTCTACACATGTTGCCACCAGCTACCCATCACCATTCCATGCTTTCTGGGCTTATAAGATTGAAGACTTGTCCTATATCCGAGTTTCTTTGAGCCCCTTCTCATTCCTGGCCAAAAGCAATCTTAAGTTGTTTTCTAACTGCTAGTGGTTGTCACCACTAACCTCACGTCCACCCTCATTACATACCTTTAAGTTGTGCAACTTGGTCATCAAGGCCCCCTTCACTGGACTGGGGTGACAGATCCATTGGCCATTAGGTCCCTTGGGTATAGAGAATCTTTATATATGTCTTCCCATAATGTGAGGGTTCCTTTTTTTTTTAATCTACAGGGACCCTACATGGGAACAATATCCTAATATGGAGGGTGGTCTCAACTGGACCACTGCTCTGGTGGCTTTTGTTAGGCATTTCCCAGTGTGGCTTTGTTGGCTTGATGAAGCTCCTCAAGTTATCTTTCTTGACATCTGTCTTCTCTCGGGTATTTTTATCTCTTCATTATTCCATGCTGAGTTCTGAGTGAATTCCTCAGTACTGGCTGATTTTTATTCCCAAAACTATATATTTTGTTTCTAGGATTCAGAATGTGTTTATTTTCATATTCTTCTCTTCTAAACTTGATTTAAAGTTATCAATTTTATTTTCCTTCTTTTTTTTAATAGATGCTATTTATTTTTTAAAAACCATATTATACATACTAATTTCAAAGTTTTTTTCATATTGCTCTATCATTTCTATTTTCCTGAGACAAAATTCTCTCATCCTTTGTAATTTTATATGCTTTGAAA